TGTTTATGGTTTCCTTTGCTGTGCAAAACTTATAAGTTTCACTAGGTCCCATTTGTTTATTTTTGTTTTTATTTCCATTTTTCTAGGAGGTGGGTCAAAAAGGATCTTGCTGTGATGTATGTCATAGAGCGTTCTGCCTATGTTTTCCTCTGAGAGTTTTATAGTGTCTGGCCTTACATTTAGGTCTTTAATCCATTTTGAGTTTATTTTTATGTATGGTGTTAGGGAGTGTTCTAATTTCATTCTTTTACATGTAGCTGTCCAGTTTTCCCAGCACCACTTATTGAAGAGGCTGTCTTTTCTCCATTGTATCTTGCCTCCTTTATCAAAAATAAGGTGACCACATGTGCATGGGTTTATCTCTGGGCTTTCTATCCTGTTCCATTGATCTATATTTCTGTTTTTGTGCCAGTACCATACTGTCTTGATTACTGTAGCTTTGTAGTATGGTCTGAAGTCCGGGAGCCTGATTCCTCCAGCTCCGTTTTTCTTTCTCAAGATTGCTTTGGCTATTCGGGGTCTTTTGTGTTTCCATACAAATTGTGAAATTTTTTGTTCTAGTTCTGTGAAAAATGCCATTGGTAGTTTGATAAGGATTGCATTGAATCAATAGATTGCTTTGGGTAGTATCGTCATTTTTACAATGTTGATTCTTCCAATCCAAGACCATGGTATATCTCTCCATCTGTTTGTATCATCTTTAATTTCTTTCATCAGCGTCTTATAATTTTCTGCATACAGGTCTTTTGTCTCCTTAGGTAGGTTTATTCCTAGGTATCTTATTCTTTTTGTTGCAGTGGTAAATGGGAGTGTTTCCTTAATTTCTCTTTCAGATTTTTCGTCATTAGTGTATAAGAATGCAAGAGATTTCTGTGCATTAATTTTGAATCCTGCTAGTTTACAAATTCATTGATTAGCTCTAGTAGTTTTCCAGTAACATGTTTAGGATTCTCTACGTATAGTATCATGTCATCTGCAAACAGTGACAGCTTTACTTCTTCTTTTCCAATTTTTATTCTTTTATTTCTTTTTCTCCTCTGATTGCTGCGGCTAAAACTTCCAAAACTATGTTGAATAATAGTGGTGAGAGTGGACAACCTTGTCTTGTACCTGATCTTAGAGGAAAAGGTTTCAATTTTTCACCATTGAGACAGTGTTGGCTGTGGGTTTCTCATATATGGCCTTTATTATGTTGAGGTAGGTTCCCTCTATGTCTACTTTCTGGAAAGTTTTTATCATAAATGGGTGTTGAATTTTGTCGAAAGCTTTTTCTGCATCTATTGAGATGATCACATGGTTTTTCTCCTTCAATTTGTTAATATGGTTTATCACATTGATTGATTTGCATATATTGAAGAATCCTTCCATTCCTGGGATAATCCCCACTTGATCATGGTGTATGATCCTTTTAATGTGCTTTTGGATTCTGTTTGCTAGTATTTTGTTGAGGAGTTTTGTATCTATGTTCATCAGTGATATTGGCCTGTAGTTTTCTTTTTTTGTGACATCTTTGTCTGGTTTTGGTATCAGGGTGATGGTGGCCTCTTAGAAGGAATTTGGGAGTGTTCCTCCCTCTGCTATATTTTGGAAGAGTTTGAGAAAGATAGGTGTTAGCTCTTCTCTAAATGTTTGATAAATTCGCCTGTGAAGCCACCTGGTCCTGGGCTTTTTTTGTTGGAAGATTTTTAATCACAGTTTCAATTTCAGTGCTTGTGATTGGTCTGTTCATATTTTCTGTTTCTTCCTGATTCAGCCTCAGAAGGTTGTACTTTTCTAAGAATTTGTCCATTTCTTCCAGGTTGTCCATTTTATTGGCATATAGTTGCTTGTAGTAATCTCTCATGATCCTTTGTATTTCTACAGTGTCAGTTGTTACTTCTTTTTCATTTCTAATTCTGTTGATTAGAGTCTTCTCCCTTTTTTTCTTGATGAGTCTAACTAATGGTTTATCAATTTTGTTTATCTTCTCAAAGAACTGGCTTTTAGTCTTATTTATCTTTGCTATTGTTTCCTTCATTTCTTTTTCATTTATTTCTGATCTGATCTTTATGATTTCTTTCCTTCTGCTATCTCTGGCGTTTTTTTGTTCTTCTTTCTCTAATTGCTTTAGGTGTAAGGTTAGGTTGTTTATTTGAGATGTTTCTTGTTTCTTGAGGTAGGATTTTATTGCTATAAACTTCCCTCGTAGAACTGCTTTTGCTGCTTCCTGTAAGTTTTGCGTCGTCGTGTCATTTTGCGTTGTGTTGTCATTTGTTTCTAGGTATTTTCTGATTTCCTCTCTGATTTCTTAAGTGCCCTCTTAGTTATTTAGTAGCATATTGTTTAGCCTCCATGTGTTTGTATTTTTTACATTTTTTTCTGTAATTGATATCTAGTCTCATAGCATTGTTGTTGGAGAGGATACTTGATATGATTTCAGTTTTCTTAAATTTACCAAGGCTTGATTTATGACCCAAGATATGGTCTGTCCTGGAGAATGTTCCATGAGCACTTGAGAAGAAAGTGTATTCTGATGTTTTTGGATGGAATGTCCTATAAATATCAATTAAGTCCATCTTGTTTAATGTGTCATTTAAAGCTTGTGTTTCCTTATTTATTTTCATTTTGGATGATCTGTCCATTGGTGAAAGTGGGGTGTTAAAGTCCCCTACTATGATTGTGTTACTGTCGATTTCCCCTTTTATGGCTGTTAGTATTTGCCTTATGTATTGAGGTGCTCCTATGTTGGGTGCATAAATATTTACCATTGTTATATCTTCTTCTTGGATTGATCACTTGATCATTATGTAGTGTCCTTCTTTGTCTCCTTTAACAGTCTTTATTTTAAAGTCTATTTTGTCTGATATGAGAATTGCTACTCCAGCTTTCTTCTGATTTCCATTTGCATGGAATATCTTTTTCCATACCCTCACTTTCAGTCCGTATGTGTCCCTAGGTCTGAAGTGGGTCTCTTGTAGAGAGACAGGTCTTGTTTTTGTATCCATTCAGCCTATCTGTGTTTTGGTTGGAGCATTTAATCCATTTACATTTAAGGTAGTTATCAATATGTATGTTCCTATTACCATTTTTAAAATTGTTTTGGGTTTGTTATTGCAGGTCTTTTCCTCCCCTTGTGTCTCTGCCTGGAGAAGTTCCTTTAGTATTTGTTGTAAAGCTGGTTTGGTGGTGCTGAATTCTCTTAACTTTTGCTTGTCTGTGAAGGTTTTAATTTCTCGTCGAATCTGAATGAGATCCTTGCTGGGTAATCTTGGTTGTAGCTTCTTCCCTTTCATCACTTTAAATATGTCCTGCCACTCCCTTCTGGCTTGCAGAGTTTCTGCTGAATGATCAGCTGTTAACCTTATGGGGATTTCCTTGTATGTTTTTTGTTGCTTTTCCGTTGATGCTTTTAATATTTTTTTTTGTGTTTAATATTTGTTAGTTTGATTAATATGTGTCTCAGCATGTTTCTCCTTGGATTTATCCTGTATGGGACTCTCTGCACTTCCTGGACTTGATTATTTCCTTTCCCATGTTGGGGAAGTTTTCAACTATAATCTCTTCAAGTATTTTCTCAGACCCTTTCTTTTTCTCTTCTTCTTCTGGGACCCCTATAATTTGAATGTTGGTGCGTTTAATGTTGTCCCAGAGGTCTCTGAGACTGTCCTCAATTCTTTTCATTCTTTTTTCTTTATTCTGCTCCCTGGCAGTTATTTCCACCATTTTATCTTCCAGCTCATTTATCCGTTCTTCTGCCTCAGTTATTCTGCTGTTGATTCCTTCTAGAGTATTTTTAATTTCAGTTACTGTGTTGTTCATCACTGTTTGTTTGCTCTTTAGTTTTTCTAGATCCTTGTTAAATGTTTCTTGAATTTTCTCCATTGTGTTTCCGAGATTTTGGCTCATCTTTTCTATTATACTCTGAATTCTTTTTCCGGTAGGTTGCCTATTTCATCTTCATGTATTTGGTCTTGTAGGTTTTTACCTTGCTCCTTTGTCTGTAACATATTTTTTTGTTGTTTCTTTCTTTCTTTTTCTTTTATGGGTGGGGCTGTATTCCTGTCTTACTAGTTATTTGCCCTGAGACGTCCAGCACTGGAGTTTGCAGGCAGTTGGATAGAGCCCAATCTTGGTGCTGACATTAGGACCTCTGGGAGGCCTCACTCCGACTAATATTCCCTGGGGTCTGAGGTTCTCTGTTAGTCCAGTGGTTTGGACTAGGAGCTCTCACCACAGGAGTGCAGGCCCAACCTCCTGCCTTGGAACCATGATACTGCAAGCCAGTCACTGGGGGTTCCTTCTGTCCCCTTAGGTGTCTGTGGTCCCCCACCGGTGCCTGGTAGGTGCATTTGTGCAGAGACATGAATTCTGCATCCTCCTAGTCTGCTACCTTGACTCTGCCCCTATATAATTCCATTTTTATTAAATGTCCAGGATAGGCAAATCTATAGACAGAAATTACATTAGTGGTTGCAATGAGCTAGGGGGAAGGGGAAATGGGGAATGACTGATAATGGGTATGGGGTTTCTTTTTGCAGTGATGAAAGTGTTCTGAAGTTAGGTGGTCATGGTTGCACAACTCTGAATATACAAAAAGTCACTGAATTATATACTTTAAAAGAGTGAATTTTATGGTATGACTACGTCTCAGTAAAGCTGTTAGTAAAAACAAAAAGCTGAAGGAGTTTAACTGGGATCTTCCATATTTAAAACTTCCTAGAAATTTCCCATTGTTTCGTGAAAACTCAGTGTAGTGGGTATTATGGTTAGCTCTCCAATTCTAATTTTCCCCATCCATTACATAGCTGCCATGCAGTTTGAGTGTGATTATCCTTACTAGCAGCTTCAATGGGTCCTGATTTGACCATTCTAGTTTTCCTTGCCATACCTTAAGCCAGTACACAAGTGGCATCAAGCGTATTCCAATTGGTGGGGTGGGGGCCGGAGGGAGGGAGAAAGCCCAGGTTTTTGTTAGGTGGTTGTGAATAACTAATACGTTTTCTCTTTTTCTGCATGTAAAGGGAAAACCATGAGGTACAGGTTAGCAGCCGTCTTCCAACCATGAGAGAAGTCAGCTTGAAGACAAAAGTGACACACAGAGAAGGAGAGAGCCAAGACTATCTCAGAAAAATGGAGCAAGAGCCCTGATTGAGCCTTGCGGGACTCCTGCGTCCTTTAAATAATCTTTAAGTAGTGTGTGACCATATGGCTAATTTGCCTATGACAGTCTCAGTTTATACCAGTTTTCCTAGCTTTCTCTTTCTGAAAAGTGTTCCAGTTTCATTTATATGGTCACACTCAAGATAATTGGATTTTCAATCATATATCAATCAATTTAGCAGTTAACTAAGGTCAACTGTTTTTCAAGTTGTGTCCATTTGGACTGTTTTCTGGCTACCTCCCATCATCCTCCCTCAGATTGTTCAGTTGTTTAGATTCAAAAAGTAAGCAAAGGAAACATTCTGGTTTCTTCTCACTCTTACTCTTTCTTCAGGACCTAGGACTTCTCCATGAAGTCTTTCTAGACTTTTCTAAATAAAAGTGGTTAAAATGGTTATTCCCAACTCCCACACAATTCTCCTCATCCCTCTTTATCAGTACTCAATAACATTGCATTACAATGATCTGTTCTTGTGTTTATCTTCCATAGCCAACTGGGAACATCTCCTGAAAAAGGATTATATCACTTTTAACTTTGTATCCAAAGCATGAGAACAATGTGCTCCCGGAACAGTTTCTTTTGATATTTGCTGAGGAATAAAGGAAAAGAAATAACTGGATAGGAAAGCCATTCATTTGTTTGCTTTGTCATTTTAACAGTCTGTTCAACTAATTTTGCTCAATATTTTCCATTGTAGCAACTAACCATTAATGATGACTCCCAAGCCCAAATTATCTCAAAATAATTAAAATGGGCAATTGAATTTAAGGATGAGCTTAATATAGAAAACCCCCAAGAGTTGTTTCTGTTACCCTGAATTGTCCAGTGAACTGTTTCATGCTTCTTCATATTTAAGATAATGCTTCAAATTTATACCCACAATGAAATAAAGCCTTAAAAATAATCTGATATGTTTTCTGAACAATTAAATTATTAGACTAGGTGGAGGGCTCATCTTCTTCACAAATTCATTGTTAGTTTGGTCTCATTCATGCAGATGTTCCTTTTTTTTTTTTTTAACCAATTCAGAGCTAAAAAAAAAATGTCATGTAAACTAGACTCTGAAAACTGCTTTCTGTTAATCCTGATATCCTGATGCATTTTATTCTAAGTATTTTTAAGATATTTATTACCAAAAATAATATTAACATTCAATATCATTGTTTCTTACATGTCAGAAGACCCCATGTGTATCTAAATACCTTTTAAATCTTATGCTTTGCTTGTATAGAATATTTTATTTCAAGGCCTGAAATTTATTTTTCTTATGGAATAAAAGTATCTTGGTTTGCTCTTTACTATTTTATGATATTATTCCTATTCTATACAATTATCATCTAATTGCATTTGTTTCTGAATGAATAAACCAGTTATGTTAGCAAAAAGATGAGATCTAAAGGATATCCTGGTTTGTGTTATAAGCAAAAATTGAGTGTTGATGCTTCTGCTACAGAGAAACCGATTTGCTTTAAAAAAAATCCTTTTAAGTATAGTTAATTTTATTTTTCATAGGTAAAAACAGTAAAGGAAGAAATTGAGAAAATAAGTTAGTGATCTAGATGAAATTAGAATGAAGGAATGCTCTCTGTTAAGGAATAATAATAAAAGTTTCAAAAAATTTACACATGTCTGCAACTGTTCTGAATATTTTATATATGTTAACTTTAGTCCTCACAACACAGGTCATATAGGTGGTAAATGGTAGAACTGGAATTCAAACCCAGCCAGTTTGACATTCACAATGTATGTATGTGCTTAACCGATAGTCTACAGTGTATCCTCAAACAAAGCTTTCTTCAGATAGAAAGTATTTTGAAGAGATCCTAAACTCCAAAGATGTAGGTTATCTCCACAGCCTTTGTTCCTTAGTAAAAGTTAAACTCACATTTAATTATATTGTTGTTAATACTATGAAATAAGAAACAGATTTTATTGTCATTTTTCTGATCTTTTAAATCTTCTACTTGTTGTTTACTCTCTTAGATGAATTGTTCTGAAATGACGGTATATTTCGTGAAATTCCTCTTAATTGAAGTAAAGGATGTGGTAAAGAGTAAGATGTTTAGTGCATCTTTGCATGAAATATATGGTCTATTCTAAATACACTTTCCTATGTCTCAGATGTTGAAATTGCCTTCTACAGAGTATTGGTTATCAAACTAAATAATGCTAAACCAAAATCTACTTTGTGATCTGAACTTTGAGGATTGATTATCTACTATACATTGTTTAAATTAACTTAATATTGTACATTTTAATATAAGGAGCATTGGCTTTGGAGTCTGATAGACCTGGGTCCAAACTCCAGCTCCCTCCTTATCAGATGCATAACTTTATCTTTTTGGCTTCCAATTATATATTTCATGACATTTGTGAAAGTCAAGTTAATATTTTAAAATTTGCCTGGCACATAACTTATGTTCTTGTGTTCAGTAAATACAGTTGGCCCTCCATAACCGTGGGTTCTGAGTCCATGGATTCAATCAGCTGGAATTCAAACCCAGAGGAGAAAATATTTGAAAAAAAATTCTAGAAAGTTCCAAAAAGCAAAACTTGAATTTGCTGCATGTCCTGGCAACTATTTACATAGCATTTACATTGTATTAGATATTATAAGTAATCTAGAGATGATTTCAAGTATACAGGATTATATGCTTATATAATACATACCTATAGTGCTTAGGTTATATGCAAATACTATGTCATTTTATATAAGGGACTTGAGCATTTGTGGATTTTGGTGTATGAGGGGGTCCTGGAAATAATCACCCACTGATACCAAGGGAGGACTGTATTACAGTCTCAGTCTCTGTCTCTGTCTCTCTCTCATTCTCCAATAAATCTACAAAGTTTGTTAACACACACACACACACACACACGCAGAGCCTAGGTGAAAGTTTTGACATTATAAACTTTAATAAATAAATTGAATTGAGTCATGAATATCTATCTAAAAAGAAAGCAATTTCAAAAACATTTTGAAAAAGAAAATAATTGATACTTACATGGGACACATTTGGAAATCTTTAGAATTTAGCTTCCTTTAGGAATGAACATCAGTGCTTCAACCTAGCACACTATGGATTAAAACAAAATCAAGTATGAAATTTGAAAAGAAATGAGTATGAGGTAAAACATTTTAATTAGTCATTTGGATATGAGCTAGCAAAACAGCTGAGAATGAAACGAACTCTAGTAAACTCTAGGCACTCCCCTGGACCACACCTATACATACAAACACACTATACCAGTGGTTTATCAAGATCAGGCCTTGAACTGACAATTTGCCTAGAACCTTTGTACACTTGAAGTCTATTCATAGTGATATAGTATCTGAGGATCTGAAGGCCTTTACAAAGTTACCATTTAATGGGTAAAAAAAACCACTGTAGGTTAAGCACCTGAACTGATAAGTAGATAAGGCATTTTTCTACTAATTTCAAACATGCTTAGGGGAAAAAAATGACAAGAATTAAATTGTTTCTTTGGGCATTAGCACAACAAATTTCAGATCAATTGATTCTAACTTTGTTTTTGAAACTTCAAACTTACCCAATTTCTGGAGGATCACTTTTTGCATTTTAAAAAAGTTTTTATAAGGGCTGAAAATTTACAATATACCTGTCTTTTAAAAATAACACATTAGCCACATTCAACCAGCCTCGGATCATGTAGTATTGTAGTAGTATTTACTGAAAAAAATCTGCATATAAGTGGAGCCCTGTTGTTCAAGGGTCAACTGTATGTCCAATATTGACATAAAAATGATGCTGTTGACTCTGTCAAATAGAGCATGGGCTCTGGAGCAGGTCTTCAGGCTGTGATTAGGTGAACTAATATGTAGTTACTTTCACTCACTCTAACTCTGTGGTCTAATTTTATAATCTGAAGGAGGGTTATGAGTAGTTAATGTGTATTTGTTTTCCACAGAGAAAAAACACATATTTAAAGTATTTGCAAACAAAGGAGAAAGTTGAACAATTTTTCTAGTGACTTCTCTCAGTGTAGATCAGTTTAAATAAACTAATTCACTTGTTCAACAAATATTTGAGTGCCTAGAAGGTGGAAAGCCCTGGGCTCTGATGACAAACTACTTTATCTCACTAATTCAGACACTTATAACATTTCCAGTACTTCAAATGGAGCACTCACTTATTTTTTTTAAAAAATAGACTGGGGCTTCCCTGGTGGCGCAGTGGTTGGGAGTCCGCCTGCCGATGCAGGGGAGGACGCGGGTTCGTGCCCCGGTACGGGAGGATCCCGCATGCCGTGGAGCGGCTGGGCCCGTGAGCCGTGGCCGCTGGGCCTGCGCGTCCGGAGCCTGTGCTTTGCGACGGGAGAGGCCACGGCAGTGAGAGGCCCGCGTACCGCAAAAAATAAAAAAAGACTATTTTTAAAGCAGCTTTAGGTTCACAGTAAAACTGAGCAGAAAATACAGTTCCCATATACTCCCTGCCCAACATACGCACAGCTTCCCCCACTGTCAACATCCTGCCCCAGAGTGGTATATTTGTTACAGCTGATAAACCTACACTGACACATCACAGTCACCCAAAGTCCACAGTTTACATTAGGGTTCACTCTTTTAGATTTTTGTTTTTTTTTTCAGTACACGGGCCTCTCACTGTTGTGGCCTCTCCCGCTGTGGAGCACAGGCTCTGGACGCGCAGGCTCAGCGGCCATGGCTCACGGGCCCAGCCACTCCGCGGCATGTGGGATCTTCCCAGACCGGGGCACGAACCCGTGTCCCCTGCATCGGCAGGCGGACTCTCAACCACTGCGCCACCAGGGAAGCCCCAGGGTTCACTCTTGATGTTGTACGTTCTATGGTTTTGGACAAATGTATAGTACATGTATCTACCATTATATTGAATAGTATCATACAGAATAGTTTTACTGCCCTAAAAATCCTCTGTGACCTGCCTATTCATCCCTCCCTCTCTCCCTTCTGACAACCACTGATATTTTTACTGTCTCCATAGTTTTGCCTTCTCCAGAATGTCATATAATTGGAATCATACAGTATGTAGCCTTTTCAGATTGGCTTCTTTTACTTAGGAATATGCCTTTAAGTTTCCTCCATGTCTTTCATGACTTGATAATTAATTTCTTCTTAGCATTGAATAATATTCCATTGTCTGGATGTACCAGACAATGGATTTATCCATTCATCTACAGAAGGACATCTTGGTTGCTTCCAAGTTTTGGCAATTAGGAATAAAGCTGCTATAAACATCCGTGTGCAGGTATTTGTATGGATATGTTTTCAGTTCATTTGGCTAAACAGCAAGGAGTGTGATGCTGGATTGTATGGTAAGAGTACGTTTAGTTTTGTAAGTAAATGCCAAACTATCTTCCAAAGTGACTGTATCACTTGTAATTTTTTTTTTAATTATGAAAAATTTCTACATGATTTTTCATCATTGATAACTCATTTGTAAAATAGAAAATGGTCATTTTTCTTCATGGAAACAGTAATGCTCATTATAGAAAGTCAACAATATAAACGGGTAGATTTAAAAAAATCAACCTTTTTCATTCCTCAAAGATAAGTACTCATAATTGTCTGGTGTAATTTCTTTTAGTCTTTTTTCTGTATATAGGCTTTGTGTCACCTTTTAAACTTGATTTTTCTAGAAATCTCACTAAAGATGATGTTTTTCTTAGACGCAATCCAAATCAAGAATCCTGATTATTAGACTTCCCTGGTGGCACAGTGGTTAAGAATCTGCCTGCCAACGCAGGGGATGGGGGTTCAATCCCTGGTCCAGGAAGATTCCACATGCCACAGAGCAGCTAAGCCCATGTGCCACAACTACTGAGCCTGCACTCTAGAGACCACAAGCCACAACTACTGAGCCCACGAACCACAACTACTGAAGCCTGTGTGCCTAGAGTCCATACTCTGCAACAAGAGAAGCCACTGATCACAATGAGAAGCCCGCGCACTGCAATGAAGAGTAGCCCCAGCTCGCCGCAACTAGAGAAAGCCCGTACACAGCACAAGGAAGACCCAATGCAGGCA